ACGTGGCCAATCACTGTCGACCTTGTCCAGTTTTGCAAGAAATGTAAGGGCAGAACAAAAGCCTTTCTGTGTTGCAAAGACAGAAAAAAACAACCGAAACACAAATGTTTTATTAGATTAATGCTTTAGCAAGAGTAATTAAACCACAGACATACTTCCTGTCATTTTAATGATCTACAGATCTCTCTTCTCTCTGACCTGTCACTCTTCTAAAGCTGGAATTATACTTTCGGCTGGCACCACATCACACACCTCCACTGAATGTGTGCGCACCTAGGGAAATGGACGAGGCTTTTATTCTTGCCTCGTTCGTCATTGTGATATTCTTTAAAACAACAGGGGGCGGTCAAAAGAAACCCCCCAAAAAATTAGACGAATAAACGGAGAAGTAGAAAGTTTCCGGAAGTATGTCATATCAATGTTGTTAAATACTTTTAAACAAATTATTTTGTTTTGCTTTTATACATTCTTTTATATTTTCTTTTTTTTTAAAAAAAACTTTTTTTTATTTATTTATTTTTTTGATTTAGCCTGATCCACAAATATATACATCAGTGTAAAACCTATGACTGGTGAAAAAATATATATTTAATTGTGTACCTAGTCTCCACTTTTGTCATGGCCTCTTTTGGCATAAACAAACTTATCCCCCAGGTTTTTCCAAACTTTTTAACATAAACTTTCCTCCTTTGCCCACTGCTGTTGCTATTTCTAGCAAATAATTATTGGTCATCACTTGCTTTTGTTCATATTTCAAACAGTTATACCCATTACAATTTATTCAAATACTAAATGACAACAGAACATGAGTTGCTCTACAAATATATGCTTTATTATTGCAAAAATAAAAGCAAAAAAAGTTGATTACTAAAAAATACAGATTTTCTTTTAGATTTAACCCGCTCCACAATTTACACATTACTGTCTGGCTAGTTTCTGTCCTATACTTATGCTAAAACAGGCAGTGATGGTCTAACATTGCAAATCATTATCACCAATAAAGCCCAGAGAAACAGGGCATCAGTATATTGTATTTTTTTCCAGTTATCAAAAAATAATTTTGTGACTTCATTATAGTTTTGTAACTTTTAAATTGTTTTAAATACAAAATGAAACAAAATACATCAGTGTAAAAGCTATGACTGGTGTAAAAACATATTCTGTAATTGTGTACATGGGTCTCCACTTTTGCTAACTTAAACCAGTTGCGGCGCCGCGCCAACTGTTCGCTCGAGTCTCAAGCCTGGTTTATACTCTACGTGTCCGCTTGTTCGCTTGAGTGCACATGTGACGTCATTGCAGAGTTTGCGGAGGTTCGCTTTGGGTGCGTGCGGCATGATTTTGGCTGGTGTTGCGTAGGGCATTTTTTGAGACTCGAGCGAACAGTGCGCGCGGTGCCACAACTGATTTAAGTTAAATAGGAAACATTTTGAAGAGATTTTATATGAAACAGTATGACTGTACACACATCTTTATGACCCGTGATCATAGAGATTACCAGATGATTCATAATTCTTGGCTGAAAATAGCAACAGCCGTGGAAAAAAAAAAGAAAGTTTTTGTTAAAAGGTTTAGAAAAACCTGAGGGATAAGTTTATTAAAGCCAAAAGAAGCCATAACAAAAGTGAGACAGGTACACAATCACAGAATATGTTTTTCCACCAGTCATAGGTTTTACACTGATGGTATTTTGTTTAATTTTGTGTTTAAACAGTTTAATAGTCACAAAACTATAATGAAGTCACATAATTATTTCTTTGATAACTGAGAAGGAATATTTAAACCTATAGGAGTATACGCGGAGTATAAATCAGTCTTAAACCAGGCTTAAATGTCGGCACAGGAATGCAGGTAACGCGCAATTACTCATTTCTGCAAATGTCGCAAGTGCTTTATTTTAACATGCAAGGCATTCATGTATGCTAATCGCAAAACCGATTTGGGAGCTCTTAAATAGGCTTTATTAAATGAACCACAAATCCTTTCATTATCATTTTTCTGTGCTCAGACTGTATACTATCGCGATCTCTTTCCCTATTAAAGTAGAAATGATTTATCTTTGCTCCTTGAATAAATTTAGTAAAAAATGATCAAGTATTTAGAATTAGATCAATGCGTGATATGACAATGCTAAGAAACTTCTTATTTGGCTCTATCGTGAAGTGAAACTTTTAGCAAAGGTGGAACTTTATTTCTTTACGACAAAATGGTTATGCTGGAAATGTTTCTGTTGAGGTATTTGTGTGATTTATACATAATATCTGTATTCTGATGTGTCTTAAAGCATCACTCGATTGTACAGGCATTACAGTTAACAAGCAATCTGTTGTTACTTATTATTTATTAAAATAAACAATAATACTCTTAAAAACGCTGCTTTGATAAATGTAGTGTTGTCATGTTTTAAACGCCTCAAGTGAAACTAAGTAATTTGTTTCATTATTTTATAACTGACAGTGTACTTGTCTTTTTTGTAAATTTATTTTAGTTTAAGATCAAGTGTAAAAAAAAATTCTATGTGATGTACAGCTATTTAAGAAACAAATTTGCCATATTGTAAAGAAAAATAGTGTATGTTAATAAATAAATAATAAAAAATAGATATGTAAATAAAAGACTAAATGTAAACCTTTTCATCATATATTTTAATTAAACCTTTCAAAGCTTGAAAATATTGTTTGACAAATGGAAAAAAAGTGTGACTATGTGGTTGTTTTGCATGTGCTATTGAAAAAGATTAATTGTCATGATAGGAAAAATCAACCATACTTCCTTTGGTTGTGTAAATTCCCATACATGTAGCTTTGGGATTTAAGCAATTAAACCATTCAAACAGGTTTACTCTTAAAGTGATTTCATATTAAAATCAGATTTTTGTTTTTCAAAAGTAACTAACTAGTACTTTTTAAAAGAGTACATTGTACTTTTACCTAATATTAGTATTATTTACAAAAAAAAATATATATATATATATTTTAGCAGTGTAGTATTATTTTTACCAGAGTACAAAAAACATTTCACAAGCAAATTTAGTGCAGGTTTACCATATTAATAATATATGACTAATAATTATTAATATTAATGTTTTTTATTTTTGTAAATTCCTTTGCAATGTTTCTATGGTTGCTAAGAATACATTTCAGGTGTTCAATGCGTTGTGTGTCAGTCTTGAAAATAAAAATAGGTGCTGGAAAATGTGCGTGTTTAGATCTCATATATATATATATATATATATATATATATATATATATATATATATATATATATATTGCTTCCTTGTCCTCATTTGTAAGTCGCTTTGGATAAAAGCGTCTGCTAAATGACTAAATGTAAATGTAAAATGTAAATATATATATATATATATATATATATATATATATATATATATATATAGTGTATATTTATGAGATCCAAACAACATTTCCAGGTTTTGATGAATAGGCTACTTAGTTAATAATTTTCTTTTTATTTTTAAAGAACAGTGCCATTTTTAATAAACTTTTAGAGCACATTTTAATTTAAACATTTTTGTTTGTTTGTTTGTTTTTACCTGCAAACTCAGCTAATGTTCAAACTATTAATAATATTTAAAGTGGTTGACAGTAATAGTCTTAGTCTCTTAGTCTGAATAGGAATTAATCTTTCTCGTTTTTGAACTGAGCAAAGATGTAGCTGCTTAATACTGGCCCTTATGGGGGTACTTGGAGAGACTTTTTTTTTTTTTTTTTTTCCGAGGTGGTTCTTGATGAAAAAGGTTTGAGAACCACTGGTTTAAGGCATGTGATACATGATGGACGCTCAATATTTCTGCAGTGGTGTTGGCAATATTATCTTATTGTGACAATGTAAAAAGTACAGATGGTTTTCAATCAACTAAGCCATTTTCTTACTTAAATCACCTTATTGGTTTAGGTTTCATTTTTTGATGATACCAAACACACCACTGAGGCAATGAAACCATAATTTGCAAAAATAAAAATAAATAAATCAGCTGATGAAACAGTCATCAAATGATGACTTCCACAGGCAAGACCACAATAGGTCATATTAACTCATTGCAATTTCACAATCCTACAAATCTACAGATCTACTTCTCGGCAGCATGAATTATCATGAAAATAAATAAATAAAAAAAATTAAAAAAAAAAAAAAAAAATCAATGAAAATGATGAGTTTCAGATGCACAAATAGACACACATCCAGCTTGATGGCATCCTTGCAGTATTGAAATTGCAATCTGCTTGATTATAGCAAAATGTAATAGT